AGAGTTGGGGGTGTTCAGCCTGGAGAAGAGGAGGCTGCGGGCAGAGCTGAGTGCGGCTGGTCAGGGCTTCAAGGGGGCCCAGAGGAAAGGGGGGGACATTCCCAGGACAAGGGGGGATGGCTTTAAACTAAACCAGGGTAGGTTTAGACTGGATCTAAGGAAGAAATTCTTTCCAGTGAGGGTGGTAAAACCCTGGCAGGGGTTGCCCAGAGAGGGGGTGGAGGCCCCATCCCTGGGACCATTCCAGGCCAGGTTGGAGGGGGCTGTGAGCAACCTGATGTGGTTCAAGGTGTCCCTGCTCCTGCAGGGGGGTTGGGCTGGATGGGCTCTAGGGGTCCCTTCCCACCCAAAACATTCTATGATTCTATGATTCTAACTCTAGAACATTTTCCCCAGACTCCAGGCAGGGATCAGAGCATTTTACAGCGTGGTGGAAATAGTACAACAAAACCAGGCAGTCTTTCCAGCCAGGTGAGCCGTTTGGCTCTAGCAGGAGCCCTCCACTCGGGATGTGCCAGGTACGCAGGGCACACGCTGATCAGCTGAACCACGTTGTACGGAGAGCCGGCAGACCCGTGCGCGTCAGCCACAGCACGCACTCGGTGCAGCTTGTACCAGACCCCCAGCACTCTGTCCTGTGGTGGGGACGTGCTGCTGGCCCCTGGGAAAGAGCAAGAGCAGGCTGCTATCATGGGATTTATCAAACCAGCCTACAGGCTGCTCCTCAAGCCAGGGAGAAAGCTTGCTGCCAAGGAACTGGAGGCGAGGGAATTGCTCTAGGGCTGTATGATGGTGGTGAGCTGCAGGTGAGACTCTGCTCTATGGCAGGGGTCACTCTCACCGGCTCACTACCGACTTTTCATCAAGTGCTTCCCACAACACAAGGTACCAACGGCACTTTACACAAGTCGCTCCCCCAGCAGGCACAGGAGACACCAGAACAGGGCACATCATCCCGTCACTGTGCTCACAGATGGTCCCCAAACACGAGAAGTAAGAAATAATTCACATCCCAAAGCCTTTGACAGCTATCAGGAACAGCTTGAGGGGTCTGTTCTGCTCTGAAAACACAGCAGCGTTTCTCTTGCGTTTGAGGCTCCTTAAAGGCTGCCCACCCATCACCTCTCAACGTTCATAGAGTGCTTGTTGGTCACCATGCCCTTACAGGCTCCAGTTCAGAGGCGCTCCTCACAGATTTCGACAGGAATTAAAATTTGATTGTCCCAGGCTGCTCACTCATCCACCTTGCAGGACAGACAAGGTGGCACGCAGAGGCCCCATGACATCCCCGTTGTACTGTCCCAGCAAGTTTCTCTTGCCTGCTGGACGCACAGAATCCCAGAGTGGCAGAGGTTGGAAGGGACCTCTGGAGCTCACCCATCCCACCCCCCTGCCCAAGCAGGCTCACCCAGAGCAGGGGGCACAGGACAGCGTCCAGGCGGGGGTTGAAGATCTCCAGAGAAGGAGACTCCACAGCCCCCCTGGGCAGCCTGGGCCAGGGCTCGGGCACCCTCCAAGTCAACAAGTTCTTCCTCCCATTCAACTGGAACCTCTTCTGCTTCAGTTTGTGCCCATGGCCCCTTGTCCTGGTGCTGGGCACCACTGCAAAGAGTCTGGCTCCGTCCCCGTGACCCCCACCCTTGAGATATTTGTAGGTGTTGATGAGATCCCCTCTCAGCCTTCTCTTCTCCAGGCTGAACAAGCCCAGCTCTCTCAGCCTGTCCTCGTAGGGGAGATGCTCCAGTCCCTTCATCAGCTTTCTTGCTCTCCTCTGGAGTCTCTCTAGGAGTTCCTCATCCTCCTTGAACTGGGGAGCCCAGAACTGGACACAGAGCTCCAGGTGGGGTCTCACCAGGGCAGAGCAGAGGGGGAGGAGAACCTCCCTCGCCCTGCTGGCCACGCTCCTCTTGATGCACCCCAGGATGCCATTGGCCTTCTTGGCAACCAGGGCACCCTGCTGGCTCACGACCACCTTGTCGTCCACCAGGACTCCTAGGTCCCTCTTGGCAGAGCTGCTTTCCAGCAGGTCAGCCCCCAGTCTGTACTGGTGCATGGGGTTAAACATGGGGCACAAACCTCAGTGTCCGAGGAGAAATTCCTCCAGTACTCACTGGTCTTTGAGCTTTATTCAAGCGTGCAGTTCTCTGAGCCTGTACTCGTTATGAGGTGCTACAGCATCTGTGAACTATGACTAAACGCACTTCCACATGTTTGTTTCTGGGCATGAATATTTTACTAGCTCTTAAGCTAAAACATCTGAAACCTGCACTCACAATTTTGGCCCACATAAGCCCTAGCAAGCTCACTGTTGCTGGCCTTGCCTGCAGCGTGTCCTCAAAGCCAAGATAGAACCCTTCCCAATGCTTTAAAGCCATGGTTTTCAACCTCTGAACCAACCATTTGAGAGGTTTTGGTCCAAGAGCCATTTTATATGTTTTAGGAGCTGGGAGAAAAGCAGTAAGACTCAGACAGCACTAACCACCGACGGAATGCTCTTTTACCAATTGCTTTGCTAAATAGATGGTTTGGTTTAGCACCGTAGCCTAAAGCCTGCTCCTGCCTGGGGCTGTCAAGTCAATGGCAGTCGGTTGTAAATTAAACAATCATTAGAACTGAACATCAATTTTCCAAACTGAAGGTTGAATGCTTTCCCAGCTGGGGGGCTCTTCCCCCCTCCAAGGCTCGCTGGGCACCCAGAGGAGACGGGAGTGCGGGAAGGAGAGCTGGGGAGTGCGGGAAGGAGGAGGGGGCAGGTATCGTTTCCAGAGGGAGGTGGGAAGGGAAAGGAAATAACCTCTAGAATTGATGGGAACGGAAACAGAGATGGGAAAAGCACCTTGGAATTCCCATTGTGACTCTGTTTAACTGATGGAGCAAGGGGAAGGAGAGCAGACGAGAGCAGTCGCAGCAACCCCCGCCTCCCCACACATACGTGTCTGGTGGCAGGCACCGACAAAGCTCCGGCAGCCGGCAGGTAACGGGTCTGCTGTTAAGAATCAGCTCACAGAGCTCCTTCCGCAGCCTCGCCGGTGACAGCGCGGCAGCAGCAGCACTGCTTTGCATCGCTTTGAAACGCCATCAACAGGAGAAGCAACTTGTGAAACAAAAACCAGAGCTGTGTGCCATAGCCCGGACATGTGTGCCATAGCCCGGACACAGCCAGGGAGGCAGGTGATGAAAAACCCCACGGGGACAGGGTGCACCCAAAGAAGTCGGGTGTTCGCCCCTGGATGAGGCTTTCCCACTCCTCTCATTGCTGATGGCTTGGGGGGCTCCCACAACTGTTACCTGGAAATCCCCACCTGCCGACTGATGCTTCTCTGCCGCTGCACGTTGTGGTGGATGAACACCCAAGCCCAAGCTGACCCCAGCAGCAAGCTGACACAGGGAGAGCCTGCCGGCAGTGTCACAGGCAGTGAACGGGATCCGAATGGGGTGTGGGCAGTGAGAGCTGCAGGACCTTGCTCTGATCTTCCAGGCTGGACCTCAGGTGTGCCAGCAACATGCTCCTGCATGGTCCTGCAGCACCGTCAGAAACGGCAGC